ACCTCTTGCAGGACCGGCAACGGCACCAGCTCCGCCGTTCCCCGTCGAAACGTCATGGGCGTAAGCGCAGCTGCCGTAAAGACATCCTGCAACCACCGACTGCAGCGCTGGACCTCGTTGAAGCTGCTCACCAAAATCATCGCGCACGGGGCGGACGGGCGCATCATGCGCGCATCCGAAGACTCATGCTTCACCCCCGCCGCCACGGCATCAACCTCAGCAGCGTCACCGTTACTATTAATGTTGCTACTGCTTTTATTGTCACCTTCCTGGCTGCGGAGCCCCCGTGCCAGCGTCAACGCCCCAGTCGCCAACAGACCAGCCGTCTTCTTCCCCGTTCCTCGCGGGCCGACGATGAGGGTATGGTGGCCGAGCAGCATAGACGTCACGGCGAGTTGCTGGAGCGCCAACAACATCCCCTCCTCCTCCTGCGGGCCGTCGTCTTCATCGTCGTCGTCCCCGCCGCCCTCCTTCGCGGTCTCCTCCCTGATGCCCCCACTGCCTCCAGCACCCGGCGGCTGCATGGCGCCTGCGCCCAGGACAACTTCCCTTAGCTCACGCAAATTCGGTCGCCAAGACACCTGAACGGCGTCAGACCTTGACGTTTTCGTCGCACGCGGCAGAAACAAATGCCGCCGAAGGCGCGACAGCACGAGTGGCGGAAGTTGCAGGTCCTGCAGCCGCAAACAAGGAGGTGGAGGCAGCCGTGCAGAGCACTCCACGCCGTGCATCATCGCAAACTGCAACACAAACCCAGAGGACATGAGGTGGTTTATCATATATGGGGAGGGAGTCCACGAGCTTCGCGAAGTTAGTCCGGCAGCAGTATTATTCGTGCCGGCAGTCAATCCAGTGGCGCCCATCGTGGTCACATCGCCACCACCCGCGTCTCTCCAGCCATAGTGCGCCTCCCCCTTCCTGTCGTGGTCTTCGGCGCAGTTGGCAGCCGCACGTCGTGGCACAAAACGCTCTGGTATGAGATCATTGGGCCCGGACTCCATGACCAGCTGCCACAGCGACTTTTGCGGCGGGGCAGGCGGGGTCGTTTCATTGGAGGCCCGCACAAACTCCGGGAAGACAAAGTCCATGCCGTTTTCCCTGCCGCCACCACTATAGCACACACCCCTTCCGTGCTTAGGCGCCTTGCTGCCTCTTCAACTGCGCTGTCTCTATGTCTCTCTCTCTCCCTCCCTTTATCTCTCTCGTTCTTTCTCTTTAACTTTCTCTTTCCCTCCCGCTGTATCTGCGTTGTGGGAGAACTGCAAACAACGAGCAAAAAAAGAGCACAAAGAATATATATATATATATAAACACAATCAACTCATGGTGTCTGTGTGGCCCATGGCAGTCCGAGACAATTTGCACCATGTCGCTTTCTCCCCTCTCGCTGCGGACCCGTCAGCGTGCAGAGGGGCATTCTCCCCTACCCACTCACCCACTCCACTCTCCTCCATCGTCTATCTACCCGCACTGACTTCCCCACCTCAAAAATAAAAAATAAAATAAATAAACGCAACAAACAAAATGCAAGAATTGATATATATATATACCATGCCTCATATTCCTAATTTCACCTTCGCCTCTCTGGGCCGGCCCGCCATGGACGTGAAGCTGGACACATACAAAACCACGCACAGACACTTGGTGAGAAAAGTACATTTTTCATTACTCTTCTCGCTTGCGCCCTCAGTACGTAGAGGCGTGCGCGTTCCCTCGCTGCCTACTCTAGCGAGCGCTGCAGGCATGGCTGAGTGTCGTTCTGGTGCAGCTTCACCCCGTCGTCCAGCGGCGTCTGATGCCGCGCACTGATGATCTTCAGCGTGTCATCTGCTATCCTATCCACCGGTTCCCGGCTCACACTCACCTCCCCACGCTCAGGGTACTCCACCAACGTGAACATGAGCGCCGAGTCATCAAAGGCTCCGTCGTTAAACACGATGGCTTGCAGCATCTTCGTTGTCACCTCGTTGAAGGGAACCCTGACGAGGTTCATGTCCTCCAAGACCTGCATGGCCAAGCGGTGGGCATACGGGTTGCGTTCGCCACACACGCGAAGAATGTTTGCAATATCATTACAAATGGCGGTGTCGAAGGCCGTCGTGCCAATACTCTTAATAAACTCCTGGCAGTCCTGCATCTGCTTCTGCACCTTTACAAGCTCCACCTTCTGTTTGTCGAGGTGGTCCTGTTTGAAGGCGGAGAGACCACGCTTGAGGTCATCCTTGATATGAAAGCTATTCAGTTCATGGACGCTGTAGTCCAGGTGCACCAGACGGGCAGGAAGCATAACCTCCTCGTAAAATGTCACGAGTTCCTTAATGCTTTTCCACGCGGTGTTCTTAAACTTTTGCTTTGCGTCGGCCACAGGCTTACGTGCCGCCGTCGCCGCACTACCGTCCTTGCCGGTCTTCGCCGCCTTCACTTCTGTCGCAATCTTCGTGACGTCTTCCTCCGCGCCCAGCGTGGCGATCAGCGGGGCAAAGCGCACGCGTGCGAGGTCGAGCTCTGCGAAGAGCACCTCCGCCGGCCTGCGCACCTGCGCGAGGATGGCGGCAGGGGTGTTAAACACCTTCGCTACCTCCTCCTTCGTGACGGGGGTACCCAACTGCGCCGATGACTTGGCGTGCGGCACGTTGTGCACCACAGCAGCAGACGCAACGCAGCGAAGCAGAAAGTGGCTGCCGCCGCCCAAAGGGGAAGCAAATCGGCGCATTGAGTCTGTAAATAGTTCCTTCCTCTCGCTTCGAGGATATCGCCGGGGAAGAGGAGAAAAAGGAAGGAAAGTCGGAATGTCAAAACATGTGAAATGGGGGTGCAGTGGTGGAAAAACATCCCCGTCAGCACCACGCCTCAGCCCTTTGAAACCCACATACCCACCCCCAATAACAATAGTAATAAAATGTCCTCTTCTTTCCTCGGCTGTGTTGTTTGTCCAGCCGCCTTTGCAGTCACGATGTCCTCATCCGCTGCGACGCCCCACAGCCACCCTCCCCCCGCAGGTGGTGGTGGTGGCTAATGTACGGCCGACAACCGCAGCCATGTGGGGCAGGACGAGTCACAGTGAGTGTCGCCCAATGTACATGCAGCTTCCACCCAATAATCTTCTGCTTCCCACTCGTCATGCCTCATCCGCCGCACAAAGAGAGAGAAAAATAAAGGGGTGTAGGAAGAATAAAAAAAAAACGCACCCTAAAAAGTATCGCTCCCCTCACTCAATAGTCTTGACACGTCCGCGGAACTCGTCCAGAGTTTTGTACCCCTTCTTCGTCATGATCGCCAGCAACTCATCTGCAAGACGCGTAAAAATGTCTGGCCCCTCATCGTGTAGTGCGGTTCCCAACTGCACCATCGACGCGCCGGCAAGGATGTGCATGAAGGCGTCCTCACCGCTGTAGACGCCGCCGCAGCCAAACACCAACTTCTCCGAGCAGCGACGGTAGAAGGCGTTTACGTTCGCCAGGGCTGTGGGGAGGATGTACTTGCCGCCCACCCCGCCAAACCCCTGCTTCGGTTTGATCACCACCGACTCTGTCTCCACGTCAATCACGAGGCCGTTGCCGATGCTGTTCACACATGTCACGAACTTGACAAGCGGGAATTCGTTTAAGACGGCTGCTGCCATATCGAAGTGGGCAATGTCAAAATACGGCGGCATTTTCACGCCAAAGGGAAGCCCGTACGCCGAGGACACCTGCTCCAGATACGTGCGCATCGTCGCAAAGTCGTACGCCACCTGCGGCTTGCCAGGCACATTCGGGCAGGAGAGATTCAACTCCAACACAACCCCCTTTTCCTGCGCCACAGGGGCGAGGCGGCGCACCATCGCCACATTCTCCTCCACAGAAAGACCCGACATGGAGAGAAACAGCGGCTTCCTGCTGTAGTCGTGCAGCTGACTGGCGTAGTTCAGGTAAAAGTCAAATCCTAGGTTTGGCAGCCCCATGGAATTGATGCTGCCCAACGGAAGGCTCGCGTAGCGCGGCTCGGGGTTGCCATCGCGGTGGGCGCCCGTGCAGCTCTTAGTCACAAGTGAGCCGCTAGTGGAGGCCGTCATGCGACGAAGATCCTCCTCCGTGCTGCAGAGAACACCGGCCGCGTTCATGAAGGGGTTGGCAAATTCATGGCCAAGGATGTTGAGCTTCAGATTCATTGCTGTATGCGTGGTAACTGTGAGGGGAATAAAAATACAACGCAACCACAAATACACAGCAACGCCGCAGTGCAATCAGCAGCCCCACAGGAGCGGAACAACAAAAAACAAAAAACAAAAAAGCGAGTGATGCCGCAGGCCCTCGCTTGTATCCCATCTAACAACGCAGCACCCTCGTACACTCGCGCTCTCGCTCCCTCTCGAGACACACGTATCCCCTGAAGCGCCACGACTCCGCTTCTCACTCCTCGGACTCACACGAAAACCCGCAAGAGAGATAATCACCGCGAGGCACCAACAGACTCGCCTTCCTTACCATTGTTATTCTTCCCTCCCCAATGTCTGTTCGTGTTCTTCATTTGCTGGTTGGCTGATTTTGGTCGTTACCTCCTCTGCGCAGCCAATGCCCACACCCATACCTATAATTGTATCCCCCATTTTACTTGTGTGGGAACAAATTTTGGCCTTCATTTCCGTTAAAACACCTGATTAGTTTGTTCTTCACCGATTGCTACCTTCGTGAAAAATGCGGCGGTCATACGACACGAAGCATGGCGGTCTTTGGAGTATCACCCCCGCCTGCAGCACACTCATGTGCATTCCTACCCCCATGTGCACGCTTCACGCCAAAACGCTCCAGAGAAGGGCCATGCGCATATACATTCCGTACCGCATCTGCCTAAAGTATGCCGCACGCGGGTCCGCGTCAACGTCAACACTTACCTCATCGTTGCGTGGCAGTGGGTGCATCAGAACCATTTTTTGCTTCGCCAGCTGCATGCGTGCCGCATCGATCGTGATGTTGGCCTTTGCCGCCTCGAAAGACCGCATTGCGGCCGCACCATCGCATTCGGAAGCCGTAAATCGTTCCTTCTGCAGCCGCGTTGCGTACAACACGTCACTCTGCTGCATGACCTCCTCTGTGAGTGCGTGAGTGCGGCGTATCACCACCCCCTTCGCCGCAATCTCTTGCTGCAGGGAGTCCAACACATCCTGCGGCATCTGCAGCGCATCTGGAGCAACAAGAAACACACACTTGGGTAAAAAGTTGCGCACAAGGAGTTTCAAGAGCGAGTGCACCGTTCGTCCCATCTTAAGGTCGCCAATCAGCGCGATGGTGATACCATCCACGCAGCCCAGCTCCGCGTGAATTGTAAGCGTATCAAGAAGCGCCTGCGTGGGGTGCTCACCGGCGCCGTTGCCTGCGTTCATAATGGGGTGCTGCGACACGGTGAGGGCCTCGAGGATCGCATCCTGCCGTGGGTGCCGCATCACCAGCACGTCGCTGTAGGAGTCCAGAGTGCGGATCGTATCGGTGAGTGTCTCACCCTTGTTGATGGACGACGTTTCCACCTTAAAGTTCACCACACTCCCGCCCAGCCGGATCATCGCAGCGCAAAAGGAGGTGAAGGTGCGAGAGGAATCCTCAAAAAAAAGGGGTGTCATGATGCGCCCCTGCAGGAGGTTCAGCACCTCGCCGCTTTCCACCTTGCGCTGCATGGCGCCAGCAAGCTGCAGCAGTGCATCGATTTCCGCGCGCGTAAGCTGCTCGGCACTTGTGATGCTCTTGCCCCTCAGGCTTGCAACAGGCTGCAGCTCTACCATGGAAACAGGCAAATATCTCCCCCGTGCTTGTGTGTGTGCTTGTGTTTGAGGATATGGCTTCTCCGTAAGGATTGGGAAAATTGGAGAAGGAAAGCGGCAAGTCACTGAGTGCCACGAGAGACATACAGACGGACTGACGTCTCTCTTCCGCTTCTCGTGTCGCCCCGCCCTTACCCCGCTTACGTGCAAACCACACAAATACACACTCCTGTGCCCCCCTCGGCAATTTTTACCCGCTGCCAACAGCGCCAACCCCATCATATAGCCCCCCTTAGAGCTCCCAAAGTAGTTCACTAATTTCCTGCTTTTTTTTTTGTTTCCCTCTGACGCAATCTGGTGGTTGGTTTGCTTCACTGTTTTCTCCTCACATTATCGCCCCTCTTTCAGCCTCCTTCACTGGCTATGTTATGTGCGCTCACCCACCACCAGCAGTCCCCCCAACAGTTTCGCTACAAACACAACGTACGCATATTATATATATATATATGTGTGTGTGTGTGTGTCTGTGTCGTGGATGACAAATGCGTTCATGGACCGGTACGGGGGCACTCAGTGTGCTTTTGTATGCGTGTGGGCGGTGGCTCGCTCCGCCTCGTCGCACACGCACACACACACACACACACACTCGTTCACTCCCTATTTCCTCTGCTCCCACTTTTTCTCTGGTGGACTGCGACTGTAGTTTTCCGCAGTCGCCACCTCAAAGTTTGCTGACGACCTCCACCATGAACGACTGAACCTCCTTCATCTGCGCCTGCGTGATCGCCCCTGACTGTCGCCACAGCGGCAGCAGCTGCGAGAGCGTGACGACCGCCTTAAGGTCGTAGCCGAGGCCCCCGAGAAACTGCTTCGCCCCCATCTCGCGATCAATAAGAACCACGATCGACACAATATTTAGGCCAGCCGCCTTTAGCTTCTCAATCGCCTCCACCTTCGTCTCCCCGGTCGTGACGAGGTCGTCGATGACTACCACACGGTCGCCCTCCTTGTAGTCGCCCTCAATTGCGGCCTTCGTGCCGTACGCCTTCACCTCGCGGCGGGGGTACACCAGCGGAATGTCCATC